TTTTTTTTCCAACACAGCACGCGACAGGCTGCTAAGGAACCGAGTTCGCGCGAGCAAAAATGCCGCAAAAAAATAAAGCTCATGTGAACTGAATAACGGTTACCTTATTCGATATCTATGACATTTAAGTGAAAAAGAAAGCGGAGGTACATCACCTCCGTTCGAGTGTTTATCGTAAAAGAAACCCTTGTTGTCTCCCTAGAAAATATGAACCTTAAGAAAATGACGATGCTGTTTCGTAATTCGGTGACATTATTTCTTTGATAATATTGCAAACTACTTAATTTTATACTCAACTAAATTACTATAAATATTTCAACGACGTGTCAATTACAATTCAGCTGTAGTGGATTCAGCTGGGATGACAATACTGCAATATCCCTGCAGTGAACCACCTCGGGTAACATTTGCCCACGGAAGGCGAAGTTGAATGAAAACTTACAAGACACTGGGTTAGGTAAGCAGCATACGTATTTTAAAAGCTGATATATTCCCATCTTTGTAAATCTTTCTCGTCTTCCTTACTATTCCCTCTTGATGCAGTCTTAAACGTATGGTCGATGTGGAATGCATAGCCCAGCAGTTTAAAATGGCTTATTATGATACTACAAAATAATTTTCCATTTCAAAAAATCTAAGTGTATCTATGGCTGTCAAGGAAGCCACTTCAACACCTTTATGTAGCTTCTTAACAGTTTTAAAAAAGAAGCTCGCTTATCTTAGTTGTGTTTACCAGAAAGAAAAACTTCCTAAAAGTGGTATTGTGACTGTTCAGGTAGAAACAGGTAATTTAGTGTTAACAACTGAGTTGAAAACGTAAATTGACCACCGTAAAGAGTTAAAAGACTGACGTTTCGAGCGTTAGCCTTTCGTCAGAGCGACTGACAAAGGGCTAACGCTCGAAACGTCAGCCTTTTAACTCTTTACGGTGGTCAATTTACGTTTTCAACTCAGTTGTTAACACTAAATTACCTGTTATGCTCTCCCACCGACGCAGCACCACAGTTTTTTTAGATACTCACCCCCTTTGTTCAGATAGAATACGTGCTTGGAGTAGGATGCAAGCTTATGGTCTCAAAGATAAGTTTGAACTTATTTCACAGATGAGATTGATTCAAAAGTATGCAAATGTGTATTGTTTATTCACAATAGTACATCGTGTGTTTCATATCTTTGTAACGTGGTTCGACCCAAAGGTGAGATATACTTAAAAGTAACCAAGTCTACAAATACCAGGTAGGCCTTTTCACAAACATTTTTGTAGATCTAGAAGGTAATGAAATGATCAGAAATTTTCATTTTCTACTCAAACAAATAAATTGTTTGGTCTGACTGTTAAAAGACGCTTTAATTTCACAGCAAAAGTAATAGATATATTGAGAGGTTCTAAAAATAATTTTTTGTGATATTGGTCAAAATTTTTTTGCATTCTTTATAGGTATTCAGTCACTCTCGCGTGATATTTTTGGACAAGACAAGAGATAAAGAAGGCTGAAACACTTAATTTTCATTTCTTTCGGGGCATCTGAGTTCCCTTTCGAAAGTGGGAACATCACAGTGTTAATGGGACAAAATGCGATTAAATTTTCAGCGTAACCAATCAGTTCTAAAGATGATGTAGTTAACAAGGATATTCGAAGATCACTTTCACATTCAAGGATATTCGTATCCACCAATCTGAGTAATTTTCTGTCTAAAATAACATCCTTCTGCCACTATTTTCGTTAAAATCAGAGTCTGCATTGCGGCGTCAACAAAATCTGGATCGAACCGGATCGGATCACGGATCACGGATCAAATGCTAAACCGCGTACAATCCGCAAACCGGAAGGAGCAGCAAAACCGAAAAACCGAAAAACAGCCAAAACTGCAAAACCGAAAATCCCAATGCCTCCTTCCCGCTTGCCTTCATCCATGGCGGCACTGCACAACACTCCTCGATACAGCCGTGAAAGTGATTACATGGAGCCTTTTGGGCAAAAAAAACTTTCAAATGGGCCTACGCTCAATTATGTCAAGCAGTCTTTATTTTGGCTTGTCGCGTAAATTTTTTGAGTCCGATCCATGATCCGTGATCCGATCCGTGATCCGTGATCCGGTGCGGTCCGATCCAGATTTTGTCGACACCGTCCGCAACATATAAGAGAAATTGGATTTGCTAAATATCAAACTTAACTGTAACAAAGTTACAGTCGATCAAAATGATAAAATCACTGTAACTGACTAAAATGACTAATTGAATATTGGCCGTAAAATTCCTCGCTATCTCGTCAAACATTTGAGAATAATGCTCAAACTTGGTGGAAAGATGCGGATTCAAGTTAATAATTTGGCAGATAAGTTAATATGCAGTCTGCTGATGAAGTAATTTTCGTCGATGTGTGAACCTAGCACCTTCTACTACGGTCCTCCTAAAATAGAATCAAGGTTTTCAGTGCATTAGTTAAATAGAAACAGATGAAGAACAAAGGAAACAAGATCTAGCTGTAAGGGTACTGAAACGTTATTTCACTCTCCTTTTCCCCTCAGTATTTGGAGCCAAAACTTCAGTTGAAGATCGACACGCATTCGCCATGGGTTACGTGAAACAAAGAACGCCGCACCGAATGTATCTATTGGTTTTTATTTTAGCATTTGTATTTTCTCTATTTTCGGTTGTTTACGTTCATTACTATACTTTGGTTGTGCCGCTGAAACGAGGAAGTCCATCATTTGTCATCAAACAAGATGTAGATGCCTCGCGCAGCTACACAAGTGCAGCCAGCAGTGCAAGTCTCATGCATTCCGTAGCAAACAAGAAGGAAAGTTTTCAGCGCAACACAGATGATCTATCATATTCAGGGAAATCCATTCCTCTGATGGACTTCAAGGACTTACAAAAGAGAAAAAAACGATTGCTTTTATTGGTTACTGTTGGCAGTGCACCACAAAGATTCGACAGGAGGCAGGCAATAAGAGATACATGGTGGAAATTTTGTTACGAGAAAAAGGTGAGACACGGTTAATTCACATACCATAAATAATCGATCAAACGCCGCCCTTAAATGAGCGCTTCACTTTAGAGGAAAAATGTAAAGGTTACGTCCCACCTTCAGAGGTTTAAAAAATCGATTTTTCTTTTATTTGACGAAACTGAATTCAAACATTTAATTTAATGTATCCATAAAATAGAAATTATTGAAATCTTTTAAAGCACTTGAGTTATTTAAAAAAACGTATTTTCAGCTAAAAGTTTCAACTAAAAGTTTTCAACTAAAAATTTCAACTTAAAACCGGGCTCCATGAAAAAATAGTGGTACTTGTCGTAAATGAAAGCTAATCCAGGCTGATGATTGAAGAAAATAACTCCTACTTTAAGCCAAACTTAAATTAAAAATTGGTCCAGGCTTTCAAAATTCTAGTTTTGGTAAAGTCTTTGTATTCCGTTGTGAAAGCGACTGGTACTGGCGGGGCGGGCATAGGGTAAAATATGGACTGGACTATTTTTTGGACCATTTTTTGGACCATTTTTTGGACCATTTTTTGGACCATTTTTTGGACCATTTTTTGGACCATTTTTTGGACTATTTTTTGGACTATTTTTTTGGACAATTTTGAAGGGGGAGCACACCATTAGTACTGAGGAAGGGGTAGGATGAAGTCTATCAGTACTAAGGGAGGGGTGAGAGGTGGAGTGTTATTACTTAGGGAGGGGTGTGAGACGGACTATTTCTACGCAGGGAGGGATGGGAGGTGGTTGTAATAGGAAACACTGCTAGCTAATGGAGCTTTTACTCGATCGTACAAACAATTTTAATTGGTTTTTCGACTGAGTTTTTGTATGTCAAAATTTTAGCGCTGGGCCGCGGCGTTTCTTAATATTTTGTCATGCGAAAGCGAAACTGCCACGTAAACACTGGACTTTAATTTGTATTGAAAATATCGCGTTTACGATCCTCCACTGTTGAATGATGCGTGCGCCTTTTAAGTCAACTTGTGCACCATCAGTTGCTTCAAATTTCCCTTTGTGTATACAGTATGTAATTACTAACTTTACTATCTTCCTTTTGTCATTGATCTTATCAAACGAGATCACGGAATTTCCGGTCTTTAGCCCTTGACTTAGCAGCATTTAGAATTCACAAGCGCTATCGCAATTTTGAAGTTTATACCTTTACTATATAAAATCATGAGCGAACGATTTCGAAGAGGAATCCATGTTCTCGAATGGACCAAAAACACTGCTGTACTCTCAAAATGGGAAAGCGCAAATATCGATTTCATCTGTTTCGCAAACAAAGGAGATAATCACCGACACCGGAAATCGCGACCAGATATTCCTCGCGACTCCCTTAGGTTTGTTTTCCAATTTGCCCAAGCCGCTGTCGATCAGTTCTTGCGTTAAAACCTATGAAACCTGCGAAGTGGAACTATGTTGGCTACTGTTGCTTGCCGATAATTTCCGTCGGCAAAACGTAGAAGTCCAGTGTTTCGTGGCAGTTTCGCTTCCGCATGACAAAAAAATGAAAAAACGCCGCGGCCAAGCGCTAAAATTTTAACATGCAAAATTCAGTAGAAAAACCAATTAAAATTGTTTGCGCGATCGAGTTAAAGCTCCATTAACCAGTAGTGTTTACCATTACAACCACCTCTCACCCTTCCCTGCGTAGTAATTGTCCGTCTCACACCCCTCCCTGAGTAATAACACTCCACCTCCTACCCCTCCCTTAGTACTGATAGACTTCATCCTACCCCTCCCTCAGTACTAATGGTGTGCCCCCCCTTCAAAATGGTCCAAAAAAAATAGTCCAAAAAATGGTCCAAAAAATGGTCCAAAAAATGGTCCAGTCCATATAGCTCCACGCTGGCGTCCAGATTTCGAACAAAGAAGTCGCTGTCATACCAAAATTTGCCATACACAATGTTAAAAACGAGGTTTTATTTTCTTCATGCAAGTACCAGCCTTGATACAAAAACATTAACAATCGCCTCGAATCGTAATTTTGAAAGCTGCCTGTCGATTTGTTGTCTTGCACCTCAGCACATTTTCCGTTTTTTTCATTTATGCCGCGGATTTTCTCCTTTGTCTTTGGCAACTTTGCTCATTGTTAAGTCGTCTTCTTCAACGCTCTACCGAGCGATCGAGATAAAAAAAACGTGTCTGCGAATGGTTACTTTTCGCGGGAAATCATGATCCATCGTCATTAGCGCCAGGAGGTTCCGTTGTCCCATTGGTTTGCGGTTTCAGGAGGTGAGGTAATCTTCTGGTGTGGCGCGAGTTGTTTGCGAACATTCAAGGAATAATGACAAACGAAAGTGTGTCAGGGAATTTTGATATTTGAAATTGTTGATTGATGCCTTGTGAATAAGACTGTGCAGCCATTTTGCTCGTGCTGCGGCATCTGATACCCGATAAAGTCAATATTATATTATATTTCTATCGTAAACTACAGTCATTGAGCTTTCTTCTGATGTGTAGTTTGTTAGGATTTTAGTGAAAGTAGCGCGCGTACGAATTTTTTCTCGGACACCCGCGAAGGTGGGAAGTAACCTTAATAAACGCCGCCCTCGAATAAACGCCGCATCATCATGCGGCGTTTATTCGAATGATAGACTCAAAAAGCACACAACGACAATTGCTTCGATCGCAGTTGGAAATTTTGAGTAAACCAGACAAGTTCTCTTGAATGAACCAATTCTGATGTCGAGCCAAGCAATCCGACATACGATCTTTATTCACTTTATATATTGCAATAGTATTAACATGCAAATGATGAAATTGAGAGCAATATGAAAAATGACTTTTTAGACAAACACAAAAACATGTTTTTTTTTCAAAAGTAAAATGGTCAGTTACCATACTACTGTTTGGATTTTAAATAAACGCAGCCCCTCGAGTAAACGCCGCATTCGAATCACGAAAAATTTAATAAACGCCGTGGCGCTTAATCGAATAAATACGGTTTTAAAATTTGGAATTGTTCCCAAAGACGATAGACTCTGACAATGGACAGCAGTGTGTGTCCACCTGGTCCTATTGCCTCTTGCAGCCAAGGAGGGCTGGTCACTTAGAAACCTATATATGGCACCATATATGGCAGTCGCTTTCACGCTTCCTTCGTTCCATTTCCATGTCCGCCTACCTCGTTAGCTAGTGTACGTACCATGCTTCAATGTTTCTATGTAGCTTTAAGGTTTATTTTCTCGGTAGAACCCTTCCAGTTAATCATGTAAAACTAGACTAGAACGGTATTCCTTAAATGAGAACACGCCATGAGTACAGTAAAACCCCTTCACTTGATTCCGGTTACCTCGAACCCCCCGCACACTCTTTAATCGCGTTTGATACGAAGGCGATACCATTTATGGAAACGTAATACATTTCGCTTAACTTCCTAAGCTAAACATAGCTCCGACATAACAAAGTAAAAGTTCGAAAATGACTGTTGATTGTACAAGAATGGTAAAAACAGAATTCACACCAACCCCAATAACTCGAATTTCCGCTAACTCGAACCACTTTTCGTTTCTTTTGTGGATTCGAGTTGGTGGGGTTCTACTCTACAATTAATTTAAGAGTGGAGACTCTGTCGCCTAATGTTGGCTGATTATTTCTCTTCAACAGGTCAAATGCGTCTTCTTTACAGACGGCATCATTAAGAACCAAACTCTCCTTACCCTTCTACTCCAGGAAAAAAACCGCTACAAAGATTTAGAGCTTCAACCGCTTCCATCTGGTGTTCAATTCGGGCAACGCTTTCTAAATTCCATCAAATGGGCCACGGCCAAATTTGACTTTAAATATTTTCTCAAACTGGATGACGACTATTTTGTTTGTCTAAAAAGACTCCTATTTGAACTTCCTTCGCGACCGAAGCGCAATCTTGTATGGGGAAGTTTTCATTGTGAGTTTGGAATTTCTTGGGCAGACGAAGCATTCGTAATATTCTCTGCTGACATGATCCGCAAATTCTTGATGCAAGATAAGAAAAAGATGCTCTGTCACCCATTTGCTGACCAACAGTTTAGTATTTGGATGAAACATATGACTAAGCTTTATTTTCATGACACAAGGCTTCACCATGACCCACCAGCTTCCTTTACGCCTGAATTTAAAGAAATGAAAAACCTATGTGACTCGTATATTGGAATACATGGTACATACGTAGAAGAGATGAGGAAGTTTGCGAAGGTTGCAAATGATGGCGCAAAAGAAGTAGAAACTTTCCCTAAATTTTCAAGATTCTGCCCATTCAAAAACTTTGATTATCGAAAGTTTTCACCTAAGTATTATTTTCGTCCTAAACCTTGTATACAGAATCCCACTTGGAAGAATTCTACATTTACTGGTCGTGAAGACGAACACATACTGCGTCAGGATGATCTATAAGACGAAGAGCATCGACTACCGGGGTTTTATTTCTAAACGCCAGAGTTCCAAGTCTCAAGCACAGTTGATGAATATGTGATAATCTCAAAAAAAGGTTTAATTTATGAATTGCAAACCAGTTCTCAAGAATAGTTTAAAACGCTTATTCACAAGATAGTGTTAATAGCTTAAAAGAAGAGAAGGCCGTGATAGACCTATTTACCTAATAAATGTTATTTTGATAGATTGATTAATTTATATTTATTTTTTCCAATTTAAGAACCATTGTAGAATATAAGCTGGGCTGGTTACTTCAAAATTTTAAACTACCGTGTAAACAAAAATTTCTGTTCCCGTGCGCTGCGAAAAATATTCGCAGAGTAATTAATAGAATAGCCACTGTTTGTAACTAAAATGCGTTCGCTTATTTTTCCTTACACATAATCTCTTCCCATAGATTCGCTTTTGCAGAGATGCGTATTTGCGCGAGGAAAGTTGGGGCGAGGGGTGAGAGGGTACTTGGATTATTTGCCCGTGCCGCTAGCCTCTCTCAACATTGTTGTTGTGATCCCAACTTAGTCACTCTCTTGAGCCTTTAAGGTAATTCATCTTAAAACAAACTGACGCATTTATTAAACTGAACACTTAATTTTTCATCTACAGTACAGAAATTTAGGTACATTTGAATCTTCCTAATTTTTAAATCCGTACTCACCCCTTACCCCTAAAGTCCTGAAAATGTGCAACCCTGTTGTAGTAACTCTAAGAAAATACAGTC